TACACCATGATTTGTAGTATACTGGTTGAAACTTCTTAAATTAGGGAACAATTGTCAGCACACGAACAAGGTCACGCTCACACGATCACAATTATAACGTTTCGCAATTTCTACAACATTTCGTACCGTTGTAATCAGTCTAGTTGAAGCGGAAACATGACAGTTTCATTTTCTCTTCACCAGTTGGGACCACCTGGGAACCTGTAGAGACCTCTCACTCTCAAGCTTCTTACTCCTTTACTGTTAAAACTTCTGAATTACATCACCATTAGTTTTGTCCACTGTGTCTTTTAGAAGTAGAACAGTAACAAGAAAAGGACATTCAAGGTGCACTGTCGCACAAAAGGGGAATTTGTTACTATTTATTAAAAGAATATAAGAAATCTTGGTTTACTCCTAACTCTTTTTTCTCTTTCGTTTTAGCGAACCCGTGCATGTGTTTGTCAGTACAAACATCAGTTGATGATGAAGATATCTATTCGAAGCCCGGTCTTGGTAGTAAAACCGTGCAGCTACGTAGTCACGAGTACGAACAATCGTCTTTTGGAGTTGAAGTCAATAATGTATTGGAATGTGGGGACTTATCTAACTCATCTGAGTTCTTCCATGGGTTCCTCACTATTGGAACTCTCGGTTCTGAGCCTGCAACGCCAACGTTCTCCTTAGCTTTCGAAAACATGATTGAGTTGCCAGCTGAAGTGACAGAGGATCACCTAAAACTGATAAATTATGAGTTGGAAAAGTTTCTTGAAGCTGAAACTAAGGAAGACTGTTGTGATCAATCACCTGGGAGGACGAGTCATGCTAGTATTATCACGCTTGCCGGGAAGCATACCGAAGTAACTGAAGATGAAAATGACAGGAAGACTCGAACGTGTCCACTTCAGGGATATCTATTTGGATCTACCATTGAACTTCCAGACAAGATGATAGACATGAGGAAGGAAAAACCTTCATCTGTAGAGCTGTTCCAAGGGACTATAGCAGCCAATGAGAGCTCCAAAGTTAACATTGAGCAAAAGGAGGTATTAGTGAAGCATTCAAATAAATCTGCACTAAGCTTTGTGAAGAAGATCCTTAAGAAACTTTGTACCTCTTCACATGATTCTACCACATATGACTCAGGTGATTCATTTTCAACCAAGAAGAAACTCCAAAAGGTTAGTTCTAATAGCTTTATTGGTTTCTTAGTTTCTTTGTGAAGCTTTCTGAGTTATCGTTTTGATATTCAGGTCTTACGTCGGTTCCATAAAAAAATACACCCCGAAAGCTCAACTGCTACGGACGAATGTCAAAACTCGCAAAAGTACATGTTCGACAATGCTTCTTTTGATGATAACTTTAATAATGGACGTGTGATGAACGATGCGGAGGACCAAATAACTTATTGTCAGGAATTCGTCTCAAAGGATGAAATCTATTATTGGAAGACCAACTTTGGTTTGCCCCTTTATGGGGTTGATACTAATGTTTCAAGTGCAAACAGAGGCCACTGGATTAAGACAGATGAAGAGTGTAAGTACCCTTTCATATTTAAAACCCTTTTACTAGGACCACCACTAGCAGATATTGTTCTCTATGGGTTTTCCCTTTCGGGCTTCCCCTTAAGGTTTTTAAAATGCGTCTACTAGGGACCACCGCTAGCAGATATTGTACTATTCGGGCTTCCCTTCAAGGTTTTTAAAACGCATCTGTTAGGGAGAGGTTTCCATTCCCTTATAAGGAATGTTTCGTTTCGCCCTCCAACCGATATGGGATCTTACAATCCACCCCACTTGGAGGCCCAGCATCCTCACTGACACATCATTCAGTGTTTGGCTCTGATACCATTTGTAATAGCCCAAGCCCACCGCTAACAGATATTGTCCTCTTTAGGCTTTCCCTTTCGGGCTTCCCTTCAAAGTTTTTAAAACGCATTTACTAGGGAGAGGTTTCCACACTCTTATAAGGAATGTTTCGTTCCGCCCTCCAACCGATGTAGGATCTCACAATCCACCCCACTTGGAGGCCCAGCATCCTCGCTGGCACATCGCTCGATGTTTGGCTCTGATACCATTTCTAACAGCCCAAGCCCACTGCTAGCAGATATTGTCTTCTTTAGGCTTTCCCTTTCATGCTTCCCTTCAAGGTTTTTAAAACGCATTTGCTAAGGAGAGGTTTCCACACCCTTATAAGGATGTTTCATTCCCCTCTCCAACCGATGTGGGATCTCACAATCCACCCTCCTTGGGGGTTTAGCGTCCTCGCTGGCACATCATCCGATGTCTAGCTCTGATACCATTTATAACAGCCCAAGCCCATCGCTAGCAGATATTGTCCTCTTTGGACTTTTCCTTTCAGGCTTCCCCACAAGGTTTTTAAAACGCGTCTACTAGTAAGAGGTTTCCACACCCTTATAAGAAATATTTTGTTTCTCTCTCCAACCAATGTTGGATCTCACATTAACTGTTCTCTCCGATCTCTTTAGCTATGGAATGGAAATGACTGATTTTGATCTGTTTTTATGATGAACCCATCTGATTCAATATTGTTGTTTCCATTATAGACTTGGTGTTGGAGCTGTAGGGGAAGAAGAAGAAGATGACCACTACGAATCCAGAGTCCCTCTACTCTAGCACGAGGATCACAATGGAGTCTTATATATATATATATATATATCATCTAGAATAATCTTTTTCGAGTTCTTGAGCGACGACGAAATCATTAATGTACATGTTGGTTTGTGTTTAAGTGTGATAGTTGAACTCTAGTTTGGTTTGATCTTTGTTGTAAGCTCTTTTATAAATGGTATGGATTGTCTGGTTGAGAGACCTTTGAATTCCTGTCACAATCCTTCTGCTCTGTCAAAGTGTTTTGTTTCCTTTACATGTACACTCTTGTGGCTTATAAACAAAACCCTTTTGAATCCATTTTCTGCAACATTTCTCTTCGTTTTCGACTCCATATTTGTAATAATACCTAACTTATCGAGCTTTTTTTTATGAATATTGAACTAAATGTGTCTGTTTCTTAGAATTGTGACGGTGTTCTCACTGTTCTTCTACACAATGTTTGTCTTTGTTAACAAAATGTCGAAAAACCTCGTAGGTGAACTATTATTCAACTTGTTGACCACGGACAAAGCGAGCCTGTTGTCTTGCCATCCAAAGTGAACTCGAAGTGATAGTCTGTGTAGTGCTCGATCTCGTACACATAGTAACATAAATTAGTATTTAGTTCGAGCTAGTGTTGGGCAGCTAAACTAATAATAGTTGCATACTTAAGAGTTAATGTCCACATAGTCGAGTTTGGCCTTAGTTGAAGTACACATCAACGTGGCTGATTTTTCACCTTGCCATAACTGGTCAAATTATTAGATCAAACGACACAAATAATAACTATAAAAAAAATAACTAAATAAATTTTAAAAAAAAAGTTTTAAAATTTTAATTTTGTATATTTAATTGATGAATAATTTATTTAAATTTTTTAAAAATTTACAGATCAATGATATATAAAATTTTAAAAAATGATGATTTATTTACCTGGCACAATTTTTTAAAAAAATAAATTAAAATAATTTACATTTAAGGAAGGGTAGAATCGAGAATTTAAATAAAGAAGTGTCACGTGCAAATAGGTAAGTGTGACGTTTGGGGATTATTGAAAAAAACAAAAAAGTGCCATTTTATTTATGTATAATTTTTTTTTTTTTTTAAACTTTTATCCCAACTACCCCTAGCTCACGTGTTTTTTTTTAATAAGTTTTTTATAATACACCAAATCAAATATGGAGCCTATCGAGATTTAAACCTTTAATTTATAAAAATAAGTTTACGTCAATTATCGTTGAACTAATTTCATAAATTTTTTCATCTTAAAATTTCTTTAGAAAATCGTTAATATTTTAATTTCAAAAATACCTTTAAATTTTTAAAAGTGTTTAAAAAATATCCTCACATTTTTTAAATTTTCATTAATACCCTCAAACTTTTTTTAAAACTTCAAAAACACCTTTTAAACCTTTTTAAACCGTTAAAAAAAATTCCGATAATATTAGTACTGTATTTCAAAAATATTTATAAATTTTCAACAATAACATTAGAAAATGAGATAATCTACGAGGTATCAATAAATTAGTCCATATATTGACATAATAACTAACTTTTAGGAAGTTATGCAGGGCATCCCGTATTGCTAAATAGAGCGCCCACTTTGCATAGATTAGGCATCGAGGCCTTCCAACCTATTTTAGTGGAACGACGTGTTATTTGTTTACATCCATTAGTTTGTAAGGGATTCAATGCAGACTTTAATGGGGATCAAATGACTGTTCATGTACCTTTATCGTTGGAGGCTCAAGCAGAGGCGCGTTTATTTATGTTTTCTCATATGAATCTCTTGTCTTCAGCTATTGGGGATCCCATTTCTGTACCAACTCAAGATATGCTTATTGGGCTCTATGTATTAACGAGCGGGAATCGCCGAGGTATTTGTGCAAATCTGTATAATCCAACTTTTTTTTTCTTTTTTAATGGTCAACGGTGTTTATGTTAAATGTTTAAGGATATTCACGAAACAATAATATTTTTTAAATAAAATACTATTAGTTTCCATTTAAAATTAATGGTAAATGTATTATACACACATTAAAATATTGTTAAAACAACTCGAGTGAATTAATAATTATTATAATAACCTAAGTCAGGTACCAACCAGACGCACCATATTTTTCAAGCAGTATAAGAAGCAGTAATGCTCTTAGTAGCTGTGATGAGTGGTATGTGTTAGATGAAAATGTCCCAGGTTAATTTAGGGAATGGTTATGAGTTTATAATCTAAGAATACACTTTCCAAAAGCAAAGCCATGAGAGCTTATGCTCAAAATGGACAATATCATACCATTGTGACGAGTCGTGTTCGTCTAACATGGTCCAAAAAGAAAAAAGAGTCAAGCTCAAAGCAAACCTTAGGCTCAAAGTGGACAATATCATATCAACTCGAAAGCAAGCAGAGAGTCGTGAGGGAGAGAAGAATAGTTCTTCAAAATTTGTTGGTGCTTTCAACGTGATGTACAAATCCAAGAATCATGAGCATATTTTAACGCAACCAATAATGCACACGACGAGAGTTCTGTGCCAATTTTCTCTTTAATCCTTCATTGTTCTTATCAGGGTTACATCGGTTTTCGGATCCGGTACGCTCTTCAATTATTTTCGGTCTTCTTCTCTTCATTTTTCATCGATTAACCGGTTCTTCGATGATCCATATGCAGAGTTCAATTTCTACCCCCTAATCGAAGCTCCATTTGCTTTGTACACATGGAGAGAGCTACCAAGAACGTGCTGCTTTCTTCTAATGGGGATGAGATATCCAAGAATCTGGCTCTACATCTTGCCAAAAGGGGTTGCAGGTTTAGCATTGAGCTTTGATCTTAGTGCCTTTTTTTGTATGAAATTTTTTGTTATTGTGTTCTTTCTTTCTTCTGTTTCATGGTTGTGTTTAGATTGGTTTTGTTGGGAAATGAGACTGTTCTTCGTAGAACAAGTATGGAGATAGTTGAATCCCTAAAAGGTGTCCTGCCGATTGAGGTTGTTGGCTTGGACATGGAAGAAGAGGGAGAGGCGGATTTTAGTGAGGCTGTGAACAGGGCTTGCAGTATTTTGGGAACTTTGGATGCTTTTGTTCATGCTTATTCTTATGAGGGTACAGCCTATCTCTAACTCTTTCACCCATTCTCTCTGTTCTCCATGCTCACTCTTACTTGTTTTAGTTTACTTGTTTGGACATGATTTGATATTTGAATAAAGATTTAGCCTCTTGTGAAGATTGAATAGAGATTGTAACAAGCCAAGCCCACCGCTAGTAGATATTGTCCGCTTTAGTCCATTACGTATCGTCTTTAGCCTCATGGTTTTAAAACACGTCTACTAGGGAGAGGTTTCCATACCTTTTATAAGGAATGTTTCGTTCCCCTTTCCAACCAATGTGAGATCTCACAATCCACCCCTTGGGAGCCAGCGTCCTCATTGGCATACCGCAAGGTGTCTGCTTATGATATCATTTGTAATAGCTCAAACTCATCGCTAATAGATATTGTTTGTTTTGGTGTGTTATGTATCGTTGTTAGCTTCACGGTTTTAAAGTACATTTGCTAGGGAGAAGTTTCTACACACGCTCAAATCGATGTGGGATCTTGCATAGATTTACATTGTCAGTTCTTTGAGAGCTTAGGCTACACTATCTTGACTGGTCTGAATTATCGGTTCATAGTTTGTGGTTAACTCAATGAGTGTTTGGTATCATTAATGCTTGAAAAAATAGTCTACAAATGACCATAAGGAGTCCCTTTATGTTAGCTTCATTTGGTTTACTCTTGAAAGAAGTTGGTCCTGAAAGTAAATGGTGAATCAAAAAGCCAAATGTCTTGAAAGTACTCTTTCTTAATGCTGAACTTCTGCAGGTCCCTTCCTTGATTCAATGAAGCACCTTAGAATTACTGTCCTTTTGTCTTCTGTAAACTTCTTCACAATGTTCATTCAGCTCATAACATGCAATTAAGAGAACTCATAATGTAATTATTTTAGCTTGGTATGGAATGTGATAAATTGTGAGATCCCACATCAGTTGGAGAGGAGAACGAAGCATTGATTATAAGGGTGTAGAAACCTCTCTCTACCAGACAGGTTTTAAAACCTTGAGGGGAAGCCTGGAAGGGAAAGCCCAAAGACGACAATACCTACTAGTAGTGAGTTTGAGCTGTTATAAATAGTATCAGAGCCAGACATCGGGCAGTGTGCCAGCAAGGACGCTGGGTCCCCAAGAGGGGTGGATTGTGAGATTCCACATTGGTTGGAGAGGTGAACGAATCACTGCTTTTAAGGGTGTGGAAACCTCTCTCTACTAGATGTCTTTTAAAACATTGAGAGGAATCCGGAAAGGGAAAGTCCAAATAGGACAATATCTGCTAGTGGTAGGCTTGAGCTGTTACATAAACTACACAATGGAAGATTGGAAACCATCGGTGTGTATGTTTACCATCCTCAAGTATGGATTGCAGTCTGTCAACCCAGTTAGAGAATGCTTCTTATAGAATTGAGTTTGCTTGTAAGATTTAGTGCTATGTGCAACTGTTAGCTTATTGATCTGTGGCTTATGTGTTCTTGAAGATATAATGCTTAGCTCCTATACATGATAGTGATAGTTAGAAATTCGGGACGTATAGCTTCTCCGAAAGCTATCATACTGTAAATTATGTTAAACTGCACGACGTTTGAAGCAGGTCCCATACAAGAGGCTCTACATCTATCCGAACACGAATTCAAAAAGATTGTTAAGATAAACTTGATGGCTTCATGGTTTCTGCTGAAGGCTGCTTGTCAAAGAATGCGAGACCAGAACTTAGGAGGCTCGGTAATTTTGTTAACCTCCTTGCTTGGTGCTGAGAGGGGACTGTATCCAGGAGGAGCTGCATATGGATCGTGCTTGGCAGGATTACAGCAGTTAGCTCGGGTAAGTAGCTTTGCATTTTGAAACCATGTGAACATGATCTGTTCTTAAAGTTCCTCGTTATGACATGAATTATGGACTTCTGTAGACTTCAGCTTTGGATGTTGGGAAGTATAAGATCAGGGTCAATGCTATAGCCCGTGGACTGCACCTAGATGATGGATACCCTGTGTCAGTGGGGAAGGAGAGAGCAAAGAAGCTGGTCAATGATGCAGCCCCGCTCGAAAGATGGCTCGATGTTAACGACGATTTAGCTTCAACTGTGATCTATCTAATCAGTGACGGGTCGCGGTACATGACTGGAACGACCATATTTGTTGATGGGGCACAGTCGCTTGTGAGGCCACGGATGCGCTCGTATATGTAGTCGTTATGTCTGGTGCACTTGGAGATCTTCAGGTCATCAACATTTTGGGTTTCTTTTTTAAATTATGATTAGAAGCATCTAACAGACAAATATATTATGGTATCATTCTTGTGGGACTGTCTGTTTTGCTGAAGGGATGATTCCCTTATTGGATTATGCTTATATCGGTTGGAGGACGTTTGACTAATTTAGTTGTGAGATCCTGCCTCGGTTAGAGAAGGAAACGAAGCATTTTTTTATAAGGGTGTAGAAACCTCCCCTAACATGTGTTCTAAAATTGTGAGGCTGACGGCAATACGTAATGAGTTAAAGTGGACAATATCTACTAGCGATGAGTTTAGGTTGTTACAAATGGTATCAGAGCCAAACACCGGGTGGTATGTCAACGAAGACGCTAAGCTCACAAGGAGATGGATTGTAAGATCTCACATTGGTTGGAGACGGAATGAAACATTCTTTTTAAGGGTGTGGAAACCTCTCCCTAGCAGATACGTTTTAAAACTATGAGGCTAATGGCAATATCTAATGGGTTCAAAGCGGACAATGTCTTGCTAGTGGTGGGCTTGGGCTGTTACATCAATGCTTTGTTGAGCAAATAGAGAGTGTCGAAACCTCGAAGTAGAACTTGCATGGTTAAGAGAGAAATTGAGGCACCTGGGTACGAAGGTGAGAGGTTGATATTTGTTGTATGCATATAGGAGGTATTATCGGGTTCTTGAGTACAAAGGTCAGAGGTCAAAACTCGAAATATGATATATATACAATCAAAGTTATACTTAGCCTAGAGTTCTTGAAGATATGGATATATTTGTGTTGAAAAACCCGAATATTTATTAATGTGAAAGAAAAAAAAAAACCGTTCTCCAAAGTCCGAATCGGCCAACATAAGGAAAAGACACAATTGACCTTACCAATTACATGGATGGAATGGTTTTGAGTGAGGAAATGGTTTTGATGTTCTTGGTCTCCATAGAAATGATTGGAAAGTTGTAACTTTATAGAACTCTTTCTTCTTCCTCATTCCTTGCTTGATTCTCCATATGTGATATGTTTCTCATAAAGCAACACTCTCTCCTCATCAACATATTGAAGCTTCGAAGCATCAATTTAGGCACGGATCTTGTTCGAAGCTTAAACCCGAACTTAGATCTTTATTTCTTTCGATCGAAGGTTGAATTTTTTGAAACCTAGGTGACACCTTGATTCATATCAAAAGTTGTTCTTTTCTTAAAAGTTACGTACTTATGATAATAGAATCTAAATAAAGTCGTATATACAATTTGATAAAATATTTCTTGCAAGAAATCTGATCCTCAAGAATCTCAACTCCAATCTCCATGAAAATGAATCGAGAATTTCAAGTCGATGGAATAAGAGGCAAGGACAGGACGAGGATCAAAAAGTCTTCTCCGACCCTAGTACACCTAACCAAGCATTTACAGCTAACCGATTAGAGTAACTCAACTAAAACATTTTTCTTTTAATATTAAATAAAATCTTTTTTTTCTCGGGTGAACCATCATCAATGAAAATTGAAAATATTTTCGATGTAACATTTATTATTTTTTAATTATTTACATTTTAATAATTGAAATCTTTTTCAATATTTGAAACTTTATTTCTAAAATATCTCAAGGACTTATGAATGAATATTCACATTTATACCATACAATAAATTTCAAAGCATTGGTTGACATTAACAACGTCATTTTCAATATTTTTTTCCCTTTTTTTAAGTCTTTCTTAGTCATCCTATCCTCAAGATCTCTCTCATTCGGATATGATCTTGGTTCATTCATATACCCCTCATTTACTCGAGTATTACAATACATTAACTAAAATAAATGGTTGTATTCAGATCGTTAAGTTTTGATCTCTAACCTTCGAGATTTATGAGTAGCACCAAACGGTGTGACTAACTATGCACAAAGACCCACGAGTAACAATGAACGATGAACGATGACTTATGTGCCCTCTGACGCCTTTGATTGAAATTATTATAAAGTCGAATCAAAATGGTTTGAATTTCTAAAAAATATATTAAAAAAATTTAAGAAATCAATATATTTTGAGGACTGTTTTTTCAATCTGATACTAATGTTTGCCATTTTCCAACACTCCAAAATTCTCCATCTTCAAACTTCAAACCCACATGTTTTCTAAGATTCCATGAATCCATCCATTCATGAACGTGGTGGTAATCAAATCAAAACCCTCCACACTTTTTTTATTTATTTAATATATTCCCGAGCCGTCGCTGTCTCCGCTTTGCTACCGAAGGCTCTAGGGAAGTCGGAATAAGAGAACACTCCTCTTGGGGTGGGCTTACTACTTAGATGCTTTTAGTAGTTATCCATTCTTCACTTGGCTACCCAGTGTTTACTGTAGGCACAATAACTAGTACACCAAAAGTGTGTCCTTCCCAATTCTCTAAATGCTCTAACGCCCACACAGAATATGGACCGAACTGTCTCACGACGTTCTAAACCCAGCTCACATACTACTTTAATGGACGAACAACCCAACTCTTGGAACATACTACAGTTCTAGGTGGCGAAGAGCCGACATCAAAGTGCCAAACCTTCCTGTCGATGTGAGCTCTTGGGGAAGATCAACCTGTTAATCCTAGAGTAACTTTTATCCGTTGAGCGACTGCCCTTTCAACACTGTCGAATCACTAAACTTTGATATTTTAAAATTAAAAGTAAGTGGAAAACAATAATTTTTTATTAGTTATTTAATTTTTAAAAATAATTATGTTGAATATTATCAATTATCTTTCACGAACATAATATTTATTTTTTTATTTTATTTTTTAAAATATATTTGTCATTAATGAAAAATAGAAGAAAATAAAATTTTAATTAAACAAAATAGGATAAGCTACCCTCTACTCCTTTTTTTTTTTAATTAAACAAAATAATATATTAAAACCTCACAAAAAATAAAATAATAATTATTTGATGTGACTAACTACGGAAGAAAATTACCACATTCACATACAAAAATAACCATATTAATATCACGTTTTAAAAATATTCATGAACTATTACCACCGTAAAAAAAATTACATTTTTTTTTTTTTTTTATAAATGTAAAGTAAAATTATGTTCAATTTTATTAAGTTTTGAAAATTTTTAAATTTAAAAACGAAATAAACATAATTTAACCATAATTTTTTTAAAACCAAAAGTAAAGTAGGTCGAGTGTCATTTACATGAGGTTGGGACGATGTGAAATGCTTATTTGATTGGTCGGGGATTAGAGCAGATTCTTTATAGAGAAAAGCTATTTGATTAAGTTACTAAATGGACTTATTCTTCGTAGACTTTTATCTTTATTATTTCTTTTTTACATATATACATACGACAACTGTGAGAAAGAAAACCAATAATGCAATCGAGTTTGAAGTTTGTGCGTATATGTACATGTTAAGTGATTGTGCAGCACTTACTCACCACTGAGTGAATCAACGAACTCAAAATTATTTCACGGTTGACACAAACGATCGTATGCACAAACTTCTAGCCCCAACTTAAAAAATAAAATTTAAAAATTAAGGTAAAGAGATTTTCGAAAGAGAGTTATAGGTTAACAAAACAGTAAGACAACGACTTCTATAATATATAACTCATGATATATAGTACATTTTGAGTCATTTCATATTTCTAACTTAAATAATTATGATTTTTTGAAAAATCATATATAAAAAAATATAATAATAAAATAATACAACATGAAAGCAAAAGCATATCTGATAGCCAAGTGCAGACATTCACTGTAATTAAAAGAATATTTGAGACACACAGACACGTGTGCTTCTGTTGTCTTTTTATTTTATTTATTTTTAAAATTTATTAAAACCGGTCCAAATTCATCGGCTCACACCACATGAATCATACCTTTTATTATTATTATTTATTTTTCAATTTAAATGCTTTTTTTTAATCTTTTTATATTTATTTAAACCCTATTTGGATTTATAACTATTTTATTTATTTATTATATTATTCTATTAATATTTTTAAAAATGTAAGTCAAGTCTTAAAAATTAAGAAAATTAATTTCTAAAACCTTTTATTAAAAGAATTTGACTAAAAAATAAAAAATAAATTTTTAAAAAAGTTAATTACCATTGTAAGAAAATTTCAAATTAAATTTAAGTTTGAATGGTATTAATTTATAATAAAGCACCCGATCGTCTCGGCATTTCCTGCAACATGGTTATATTACATATTCCTCACTTTTATCCCCACAGATTAACATGAGTTATTCAAACATGTTTTGTCATCACTCACATGCATCCTATGAAAATTCACAGTAGATCACTTAACATAAAATCTTCTAAGTATTGGTAATAACTTCTTTTTTAGTCATCTTTTATTTAAGATCACTTTCGTTGGATGTGGTATCAGTTCATTTATGTATCTCTCATTTACTAGTACCTATAACTCAAACATCTTAGACTACGCAACCCAACTCATAAAGTTACATTAGGGTTTTTTTTTTTTTTTTGGGTTGGGTTAGAATTTTTAGAAAATTAAAAATTTGGTTCGATTCATAGATCACCGACCTAATAAAACCTAAAATTTTCAGGTTTCGTTGTGAGCCCTACTCAGGTCATTTACGTCATTAATTTCAAGTTGGATCCAAAAAATTTCTCCACTGCACCCCAATCTCCAACCGTGTATACACGTAACAAAAATTAAGCATTTCTGATAAACTTAAATCCTCGTAAATATCACGCGTGAGAGTAGAAAAACCAAATATTTAAATTTAGGGGATGAACCTAATTTGTTATATATATATACACGACAAGAACAAGAATAGAAAACTTACCAGTGAAGATATGGTTAATAATGGAAATTCTTACCAAAGGTTAAAAAGTAAATGGAGCAATAAACGTAACTAAGTACGTCAAGTAATTCTATGTTTTTTTCTTAAAATCTCAGTGATGTCGCTGTCAAATGATGAAGCCGCCTCCACTTTGTTGACCANTTTGCTCCAAATAATTTTTTTTTTTTTTTTTTTTTTTTTGTATTTTCGCATGCTCAATTATAAATTTTATTTATTTAGTAACTTTATCCATTACAAAACTTCTAATATTACTTTTACATTTATGTTTTTTAATAAATAATTTAATGTTTTTTTTTTGTAAGATTCAAACCTAATTTTTTGGTCAATAATTTATCTTAAATAATCAATGACATAGAATTAATTTTTTTTTTATTATACACGAACTAAATAATGACAATAAATTGATATCAATATAGTTAATGGTTAAAAAGCACTATTTATTTCTTTTATAAATTTATATATTCAAATTTCCCAAATAAATATTTAAATTTTCAATCAAATTTAAAAATAAAGACTTTTTTACTTCCATTTTGATAATATTAATAGGAAATTCACAATATATATATATATTTATTGTGTTTTAAGCTTATTTTTAAAATTTAAATTTTAAAAACCAAATAATTACAAACTTTTAGCTAAATAAATAAAAATAAATATATATCCTTAAATTAAAAAATATATATGGTTAGTATTTTGTTTTAAAAATATTTTTTTAATTTTTTTGAAAAAATTATTAAAAAATATATAAAAAAGTTTTTGACCGTCTATTTACACCTCATATATCATCTCGTTTCAATTTTACGAGGGGCAAGAACGAAGTATTTGTAAGAGTTAAAAATATTAATTTTAAGTTTATAAATATTTTTGTAAATATTTTTGAAATACAATTATGTGAATATTAATTGAGAGAGACCTAAATGTGTAATTCAACATATTATTCCAATGAGGGATGAGCGAATTTCCGTGGCGTCTACGGCACCACTGGCAGCACCTATATATCAACTGATCGTATTCTTCATTTTCCCAAATTTCTCCCTTTTTTCCCTTTTTTATTTTTATTTATTTTTTTTAATTTCACTTTCTGCAAATCCCCAAACCCAAATTAACACACGGATTACACAAATTCCCGGTTTAATGGAGAATTATCAGATGTTCTTCCCTTGCTCCAACGGCGGCGGACTGTCGGCTTATAGTCAACCCGACATCTCATCCGGCACCGCCTCTGACATGTTCCGGAATTTTCACGGCGGCGATCCGCAAGCAAGTGGCGTTTTGGGGCTTAAGACAGAGGTGGTTACGGCGGCGGTGGAAGCCGACAGGAACTGTGGCGGCAGCGCAAATAAGAAAGGGGAGAAGAAGGTGAGGAAACCCAGATATGCTTTTCAGACGAGGAGTCAAGTTGACATTCTTGACGATGGATATCGTTGGAGAAAGTATGGTCAAAAAGCAGTCAAAAACAACAAGTTTCCTAGGTAATTTTTTTTTTTTGTAATTTTAATTTGTGTTTGAGCTCGGGTTTCGAATCTTTGATAGATGATTTTATAGTTGAGCTACCCAATTAGTCGGGTCGATGATTCAAATTTTCAATAGAGAGTAAAGTATTTGAAACATATTTGTTTTATTGGTTGAACTATGTACTGAACTAGTGACGTTCAATTTTTTTTATTTTTATTAAAGTAATTTATTTTTATAAAAAATTTAAAAATTAAAAACGACCCGATTAAAAAAACGACATTTATTTTGTAATTTAATTGACGGATTAAGATTCAGTATGAAAATTAATGAAAAACACTAATTTTCATGCAAAATTAAGATTATATGTGTAAAGTATGTATATATTTAATTAAATGATGATGTATAATGAATTATTAGCCTTAGTTTGATTATATTAATGTAAAGATGTGTTTCACTAAGTAATCATTGAAACTTTTGATTTTTTTTAATTGATATAATTTCGTTTTGAAATTAGTATCGAGAAGACTATGAGAGACATGAGGATGTTGATGTGTGTAGCTATCAACTCGTTATCGGCATGTTTGTTTGTTCGAGTATCAAATCGATTGGCCTAGAAAACGTGTACAAGTTGAAAACAATTAGTTTTCATGAGTAAGATAGTTATATTTAATCATAGATATAGAATTTGAATTTACGTAACAAACAAGATTTCTGCCTAAACCCTAAAATGATCATGACCCATTTCTCGATCGTCTTAATATTATATACATATTGTATGTGGTAGGATTATGTCAATCATCATGCATTAGTAAATCACAAGTTCTACTCGTTCTTGAGTATGTATATCTTAGAAACATATAAACGTGTATGAGATATCGTTTGTGATTAGTTTGTAATATCGCTGCTTATTTATGTGTCGAGATTATGAGGTGTTTGTGTTGATCGTGAAATGGGAACGTATAGGAGCTATTATCGGTGCACGCATCAAGGGTGCAATGTGAAGAAGCAAGTGCAAAGACTAACCAAAGATGAAGGGGTGGTGGTAACGACGTATGAAGGCATGCATACACACTCCATTGATAAACCAACAGACAACTTTGAACAAATCTTGAGTAGAATGCAGATTTATAGTACTCCTTTTTGAGCTCAAACTCAGCATCCGTTCCATTTCATAACCAAGAACGAGAACGAGAACGAGAACGAGAACAAGAACAAGCTCAAGAACGATCAAATCATGTTTGGTTCTTCTTCACCTTCTCTGTTTGTTTTTTTCGTGTAGAAATAAATATATATACAAGTTTCTTCGTAATAATAAATCCATATTTCATTTTCTGTTATTTATTTTTTTATTTATCTAACTATAAAATAAATTTTATAAAATAATTTGAATCTCATACTTAATAGGGTTTTTTTTGTTCAAGATTACGTGTAAGAAAGATGAAAATGTATCGTAATTTTTATTAGATATATGGGTTACTTCTTTCAGACTACGAGTAGATGGAAAGACAAGACCTTTGCTTTATTTACTTCTAGAATGCTCCATCAGCCATCGTAAATGTAGAAAAAGATGAAGCCAATAGTCCTCATTTTTGTCCCACCGAACAAAGATTGAATCCTTGTCTTTGACTGTTTTTACCCGAGGAGGCAGGTTGAAACTCTTTTTTCTTGAAACCAGAGGACAAACAACGGTATCAGAGTGATGGACTTGAGGATCAAGTGTTTCAAGGAGCAAAAGAGTCTATGATGTATGGGGGACTTGCTTGTGCGCTTCTAACGAGGATACCTTAGCAAAATCCAAAGCATTGTTTGGGAAAGTCAAACTCCAAAAATCTAACCCAAGAAAACTCCCGAGGGCGGGCCACAACCTCAGTTTTGAGATGGAACCTAGAGTTCGAGTTTTGAGATGGAACCTAGAGAACGTGAAACCCTAATAGGTATCCAATCCTAAAAATCGAGATAAACCCAAATAGTGAACCGATCTTGGAATTTATGTTGAGAACCCAACATAAAAAAGATAAAGAAATCTTTCGGTTGTGATCTCGGGCGACAACAATGGTGCACATGAAGGTGGAGGGATTTAAGCGGAGCAATGTGAGGGTATTTTGGTCAATTTTACATAAGCACTCAAAAATCGAAATAGTTTTTTTTTTTTTTTTTTTTTAATAAAGATTATGAAAAATAAATAAATATTAGATAATATAAGAAAATACGGTACTTTATGGAATGGGTTAAGTAAATTGCATACAAAAATCAAAAGAGTGAAGGTTTGCTATTGGGCCTCATGTGGCCCATTTAAATTATTTTAGTTTTTTATTTTAATTATATTTTTTGCTTTATTAATTCACAAACATAAGAGAAAAAAAAAATTAAATTAATAAAAATTTGCATCAATTATGAGTATAAAAATACTTCTAACCTTTAAACATTTTATATAATATGAAAATTGTTAATAATTTATTTCAAAATACATTAATATTCGAAATTTTAAATTAACATTAACACAGTCATTTTTTTATTTTGATTTTTAGTTTTTTTTCTTCTAAAATTCTTATGTATTTTTGGGATACCAAATATAAATTAAGAAAATTTAGAATATCAAGTAATATAAAATTTTAATTTTTATAAAATAAAAAGTTGGTAAGTAATATTATATAAATGATATGGACTTATGAATATTTTACTACACGTTAGGTACAGTCGACCATAATATAAAGTATATTATTAATAATTAATATTAAATATGCATCAAAAAGTGTCAAAGTCTAAATTAATGCCTCCCAACCAAAAAAAATGTCAAAATATAAAATTTTTAAGTCAAAATTAGGTCCATTGACCATTGTTAATGGTCTTTTTTTTCGTGGGAATTGACGTATGTTACCTACATCAGTAAAATTGACATAATAAAATATTCCTACTTGTTAGGTCTCATCGAAACTTCTATTCAATGTTCTTCACGTTATATGCTCAATCCCGTAAAGTATTTGAAAGTCGTCTTACTCCAATTAGGAGAAAAAAACAATATAAATGTTACAATTCTCGACCGTGTAATACTGAACTAACACATCTTCATCGACCCTGTTTTTTTTTTTTTTAACAAGTTAAAACAGCAAAACCCACCTAGATTCTATTCGTATACATTATCAGATATGTTCGTGATTAACCATTTGCGATTTAAGAGGGAGTCTCGGACCGACCCTAAACAAGAAAAGTGGAAACTTGGGGTAGCTTAAGAAAAGCTTTTTGGTTCTTCTAGAGATGCCAAAGGTATTGTAAATTAAAGTTGTTTAAAGCATAGAATGAATTCTGTCTAATAAGTATCTAAGAATTTTGAATTCTTTTTCAAAATTGAGATTCTTGGAGGAGACATTATTTCTTTAAACCCCTTTTCTTTCCTATAATTGATTGATTCTCTATATATTTTACTGTTCATTGAAGACCAATAACATCTGTCTCTCCCCTTCCTCTTTCTAACCTAATCTCCCTTTCAACTTTTTCCGTTAATGGTATATGCTATGTTCTATGAATTGGTAGAAGTAAGAGTAAATATTGTTTTTTTATCCTAGAATATTACATCACATGTTCAAACCGATATTTATATATATGTTGGTTTCTGGAAAAAAAAAGCTTTTCACTACCCGTGTCGAACTAGGTAGAAAAATAATTGAAAAAGTAATGCATGAGTAAAAAAAAGATACATGAATGAAACGAGACTATATCTAAATGAGAGCAAGAATCTACTACCTATATTATTAACGTGCACATTCCTTTTCAATGATTTATTGTATAAAAATTTAAAAAAAAAATGAATAAAAATAAGAAATAATACAACCATTTACATGGAAAACTAAGGAAAAGCAAACCAATAAAAAGAAATTTCGCACACAAAAGTTGCTCAAAGTATTTCCTAAAGATTAGGGGGAGAGAGATGAGAAGACCAACAAAGTTTTGAATGGTTCTGTCTATTCTTCTATTTGCTTTCAAGTTGTTTTCACCTTTCAAAATTGTTACAGGTGCGACGAACGATGACCCAATTTTCTTGTGTTTTTCTTCTAAAAATGTAACACTCGAATAAAAAAGAGGTATATGAATGAAACAGGATTTCATCCGAATAAAAATGGTTCTAAATATAAAATGACTGAAAAAGGCTGGCACGAATTGGAGCCAAGAGGAGGATGACCCAATTTTCTTGCAGCAACCTACTTGGGGCTTGATGGGAAGAGTAAATATGGTAGCTTTCTTAATCAAATTCTAAACCCATTTTCTTGGAACTTTCTGTTTGTCATGTTGTGGCAAAATGGGAAGCTCACCAAGTTTTCCACTATGATTTCTCTCTCTATTCTCTCTATCTCTCTCTCTATAAAACTCCGTTGAGGTTCAAAACTCGTGGGTTTTTTGATATAATATTGGCATCAACGAGTACTGTACCAAAACCAGTGACCTGTCTGTCTTATATCATCCAACCATTCTCTATCCTCACTGTTTTCGCCTCTTTTTTATCCAAAAAGTGGAGACCCATTTGAGGATTTGGGTATGTTCAATTGGAGAGAAGAAGAACAAGAAGAAGGAAGAGATCAATCAAACAAGTGTTGTTTATGGATTGGGGTTGGGGAACTCTTTCTGGAAAACCCACTTTCCGGGAAAAGAATCACACCCCCCCACCGCCCACAAGTTTCTCTGACTCGATTGGTTCTTCCAATAATAATGAAGAACCCATTCTCGAGGGTTCGAGCCAGGAAAGTTCTTCCTCTAATGGATCCTCCAAAAGGACTCGAACCCTCCAAGGGACTCAAAATCAGTCGTGTTTGGTTGATGGTTGTGACTCTGACCTGAAGAATTGCAAGGAGTATCATCGACGCCATAGGGTCTGCGATTTGCACTCCAAAACCCCTGTTGTGATGGTGAGGGGCGAGGAAAAACGATTCTGTCAACAGTGCAGCAGGTAAAACACAGAAATCATTAATGGGTTTTGTTTGTTTTGTTCTAATTTTACCTCAAAATCTTTGGGGTTCTTGTTGTTTCTTGTGGAGTCCGATTGTTCTTGAGTAAAAGTATTGTAGGTTCCATCCGCTTGGTGAGTTCGATGAGGTGAAGCGAAGCTGCAGAAAGCGGCTTGATGGGCACAATCGCCGCAGGAGGAAGCCTCAACCTGAATCCCTGTTTATGAGTTCAAGAGATTTCCTGTCAAACTGCAAAGGTTAGTAACTGATTGTTTCTGCAATTTACCTTATAATTGTTTGATGGATGCCATCCCGTTTGTGAAATTGGGTTATCCTCCTCAAATCCATAGGGCCAATTGTGCTGCAGTTCAGTAATCAACAGATTCATGTGCCTGATGAACATGGTAGGAATTTATGGTCCATGAGGCCTGAAGAAACCTCCATGGTTCCACCAAATTCCTCTGCTTACTTCAGCTATGGAGGAGAAGGAGACAACGAAGAGTTGCCCTTTTTCCTCCACAAAAATGGGACAAGGCAAGGTAAGCAAATGGTGTCTTCTCGGTTATGTTTCAATCAGCAACTTCCTGATGCAATCTCTCAGGGAAGTGAGGTGGGCAGCCAGAAACAAGCGGTGCCTACCAATACTTCGCCCGTGGATTCAGGTTGTGCTCTCTATCTTCTGTCATCGCACCCAGATGCTGGGTTGAGCTCTTTAATTCAGTCTCATCTGAGTCTTCCAGTCCAAACTCCAGAGACTGAGCTGCATTTCAGTAGTTTAAGTGACTTCTCTGCCTCCTTTGGCTCCAAGGACAAGCCTGTTTGTGAAACCAATCTTGATAATGGGTTGGTGCTTGAAATGGAGGCATCTGATGGCTTGTTCCAAAGTGAGGCTCCACATAAGTTTCCCGTTTCTTGGGAGTAGTCTTGCTTCAGAAACCATATCTGTTTTCTATGGCTTTAATCCAAGACTCGTTTTGAATTTGAAGTTGTGTGTTCTTAGACAGCAAATGTATTTTGCTGGTTTGTTTTTTGAGTTTCCATAATCAGGAATAGACTGCTTTGACATCATCATTTATACCAGGAGTCGCACAGCATCGTGAACATGTTACGATATATCTACGTGCCATTTTGTAACACCTACACCGAGCGACCCTGGTAAAGATTGTCTTGCTATTCCTCTTCTAGACTTGTGTTCTTGAATCATGTTTTGTTTGGAAATTACTATGTTCTTGCTTCCTTGATCATGCTGTGTTTTGATGATACTGCTTAAGAATACACAGAAACAAGCTTATGTTCTAGTCTATAGCTTATTAGTATATGAGATTTCATGCTGAATCTTGAAGTTTTCAGAAGAATTCATCATTTTACTTACAAAGCTGTCAAGTATGCTTATAGAACTGCTCACAAGGTTTATCCCCTTCTTCATCTTACAAGCCAAGCTGTTAGGACAGAGCTTAAGCAAGATTAGTAGCAGCTCATGCTATAACCGACAATCAAAATCCCCATATATAGAAAGTATTAAACAAAAAAGACAGAATTAGGTTTGAACCCTACTTTGACCTCAAACATATATTTTTATTCCCTAATTTTTAGTTTTTTTTTCCTTTGTATAATACTTGTGGAAGATTCATTTTTGGTACTCATTTGGACTTTGGTTAAATTATAAATTTAATTGCTAAATCTTTTATGTTTGTATCTACTTGTTCTTGAAGTAAAATTTTAAATCTTTTTTTAGTACAACCAATCAGGAACTTTTGATTTTCGTCAAGTAGATACGAACATTTCATAGAATTTTTAAGTTTAGGATTAAATTCATAATTTCTTAAAAGTTAGGAATCCCAAATACACAAACCTCAAATTTGGGATTTTAATTTGTAACTTAACCTTAGTCTTGTTATTTCATTTTTATCGACCTTTCGACCTTGACTTCAAAACGACAAACTTCTTAAAATATTATTCAAAACGAGAATTTTTTAAGCAACAATTATATTTTTTTTAAACTATAAAAGTATAAGAACTATGAAAATGAAGATGGGCCCCTCCCATAAGCTCCTAGATGACTATTAAAGAAGCAAGAATTTCTTTAGAATCAAGTAGTCGCACTAAAATAAACCACATGTGGTAAGAGAAAGCCTAGCCAATAAATAAATATCCAGTCAACATTCTCATCAACCTACTCAACAGCTCCATTGACACAGACCCAAATTACAGGAGCACCAAAGAGTCATTTATCAAATTTCAAACATCAAAATGATATCTACTTTCACTTTATTCTACCAATACATGAATGAAACACACAAAAATCTGTATAGAAAAAGAAGGAATGCATACCTGATGCGGAGGATTATATTAGATGGCTCATGGCTGACCTCAGGTAATGACATAATGATACCTAATATGGAATTAAATAGGCACAGAGCATAATTTATAAACACTAATTTTGGCAAAACCAATCTCCTTGTCTATCTCGACACCGCAGGCATGATTATAATCAAAATAATGCTATAAAGTCAGACAGCAATTATCTTTGCACTGGGGGCAATCCAGCACGTCTAATTATTATAGACCTCTAAAGAAATTAGTTTTAAAACTACAATCAGGCAGGGAAATGAGAACAGATCTTAGGTTGTCTTACAAGTCAAGATTGACAGAAGGGCAAGATATATTAGTAGGTATCAGGCAAGCCATTAACTCAATCATGTCAAATAATACTTCCATTAAAACTTTAAGGATGTAAACAAAATTCATGTTATTTTTCATCATGGCCACAGCGATCAGATCCTAAACTGGGATGAAAAGGAACCCTGAAAGATAATAGGGATTATTAGTAGTGCAGTAGACAACAAAATTTGGGTGGGTGGGGGGAGAGATCGACTCAATAACAGGTTCGCATTGCTAAATAACCTATACTGACACTAGTGCTTGTCATCTTTTGGAATATCCTTCTGAGAAGTTTTGGCTTCCAGCTCCTTGGTTGCCTTCTCCACAGTCCTGAAAGAATAACATCACAGTCATACTACATTACAAAAGCATGGCCTACAAAAGGAGCAGTAGCCTGTTGCATTCACATGCCAAATAGACATCTTAAAGACAGAGGTTCTATGAAAATCGCCATAACCCATAAACTTGATATATTTTCTTCTATTACTTTTTATTTATACTATCTATCATATTCTTCACTCGCCAACTCGAATGGGTTTTAACATTCTTCTGGCCGAACGTAGCTACACTGCATTAAACTAGCTAAACATTATTGAATTGGGTCTAATATCATATAAATTAATTGATTAATTAAAAACAAAGAAATAGATATGAGAAACTAGAGGCACAGGAAGTAAGCCAATAGGCGCCCAACTTCCCAGTCCATAAAGTACTCCCAAGAAAGATGGCAAAGGAGGACATTTTAAGAGAAAGTTAGTTGCAAGCAGGGATAGGAACAATCAGGGCATTTTATAACAATACTACTGACAATAGAAAAGGACGACTGAGAGGAGAGAGGGCAGCCAACTAGTTACATGGAAGTGACTGGAGTGAGCACTACGAGAGGAGAATGCCAAAACTCTTGAAAGTCTAGGTAGCCTGTAATCTCCATCAAACAGCAATACACTGATACTGTAAATAGTACATTTCTATTAGTCTCTGGAGTTCCGCTATTACTTTATTCTCATGTCCTTTACTTGCTATTGTCATATGAAACATCGAATAAATTGAGCATCTAGCAATGGATTGAACACGAACTTCCAACACAATAGATCAATCTATACCAAAAGCAAATTCCAGGAATCAATTTGGCACCCCCTGGACAGTTGATCAAGATTCAAGAAAAGTACATCCCCAGTTGACATCTATGAAAAGAAAAATTAGTATAATATTAGAACGAAGACGATAGACCTAACCAATCAATCAATCAACAAGTCCCTTTCTCAATCTGTTTTTTAACTTTCCAAGACCAAAGGAAACTCCATTACCAATCATTAGGGAATACGTACCAGAAATACAGCTCAAAAGTTTTTAGGGAGTTCCTCATGAGAGCTGACAGCCAGGAAATGTTTGAAATGCAGAAAGGAGCCACTAAATTAAGGTACTGTAACCTTCATTTTTCAACCATATCTTTAACCTCTTTTCCTTTTCCTTCTTGCTAACACCTTCATTATCAATATTGCTATGCATTGTCCATCTTTTAAAATCTTCATTTAAACAACCTCTTGCCAAGGGAAATATTATCTTATTTATCAATATATGTTCTTCCCATTTCTAACCATTTCTAACTTTGGTTATGCCCATAATATCCCAATTGAACAAATGACTATCAAGCCTACCTTCAAAGAAACATCAATCTCTCTACCCAGAGCTTAACTCTTATTCAAGAATTTCCTCTACTCATCCTATTCCTCTCCTTATTATTGAATCTTTAATAGTTACTTTCCAACCATAACTACCACAGTATGGATATAATTAAGTTGGGCAGAGCAATTTTCATATGCTTCTTTAAATTGAGCACCCACAGCATCTACTCAGAGTTTTTTAACGAATTAAGAAACTCCCAGTGTATATGTGTATACCCCAAGTTCGTGCTCTAACATGTGAGCTAAATCAGAATGAAAAAAAAAAACTGGTGGTTGGCTCTCCTCCTTGGCATACACCAGTTTGGACGAAGGAGAAATGCCCTATCAGGACACCTTCTCTGCAATCCCAGTGGTAGTATTCATGGCTTCAAAACCGTGAAGTCCAGAAAGAAAAAACTTTAAACTTCTGCGGCATCTTTCCATTTCATACCAACTTTGATGGATTTCTCTTTAAACCCTCCTCTTTTCACGTTACAGAACATCCAGATGATTTTAGATTCCGTACTTTAATATCCTTCTTGTTGCTAGGTCTTTCGCAAGCAAAGCCATCATATTTGCTTGCTTCTTCACCTGAAAAATATCTTCTCATAGAAATTTCCAGGAATTTACTTCTCATCCAGAAAACCCTTCACAGTGAATGCATCTATATAACAGAGCTGCCACAGTTGAAATTCTCCAAAACATACACCTCAGGAGATGATTCTCTTCCATCTGTTATCGCAGAAGGAAATCTTCATGCCATTTCCTACTGAGAATTGTTAGGTCACAAGTCTTTCTACCAGCAACTTATTTCTCTTCACATTTGTAACCTCACCCAATCAACATCAAATTTTTCTTCAATAATTTGATGCCACAAATCCTCGATCTCTAGAGAAACCTTTAGCCAGGAGAACTTCATTTCCGACTGATTTAGCCTTGTTGATCTCCTATATTAGTTAATTTCCCCAATGTTTTTTCTATCTTGGATGGGTCTCCAAATGACCTCTTTCTTGGATTTCCACCAAAATCAGCCACCCTAGTGATTCTCTCCCTTTCCACATTAATTCCAGAGAGTAAAGATTTACTCAAAGTGAATTCAAAGCAGGTTTTCTTTTGGTTAACCAACAATAAACCCAGCGCCGGAACGCAATTGCAACAAACATGAATAAACAAATATGAACCAAACAAGAAAATAAACTAAGAATTTAAAAGAAAAAATTACTTGGAGGCAGAGGCAGATTCTTCTTCAAGCCACTGGCGGATGTGCTTGACGTTGCGCCTGAAGATTGAAGCCGATTGCTTCACATCGCTCCTCAAAAGAAGAACCACAGCGCCAACTCCGGCCACCGTCAAGATGAAGTTCGTTAAAGCCATCTACGTGAATCCCAATCCCAACCTTCCGGACCAAACACAACAAAATTCTGCCCGCTGGCTACTCGCGCTTCGAATACAAATGCAGACTACTTCAATTGCTGGCGAGGCTGATCGAAGAAGACGACGATCAGTTTAATGGGCCTGATCGAATTGTCCGAAACAATCTTCAAGGCCCATCACAAGCCCAAGCCCAAAAAATGGTTAAAATAAAATACGTCGACAGCAGGGTTCGAACCTGCGCGGGCGAAGCCCAACAGATTTCAAGTCTGTCTCCTTAACCACTCGGACATATCGACAACTTGTTGGATAATCAGATTTTAAATTAATTTTAACATAATTTAATTCTCCGTCCTGGTTTTTTTTTTTTTTTTTTTTCCTTTTATAATTAGTTTGTTCGGCGTTTTATCAACCAGACCGTGGAAATTTTGAGCTCCTGCAGAGAAAAAATGGACGCCATTGATTCCGTCTTCGATCCACTCCGGGAGTTCGCCAAGGACAGCGTACGTCTCGTCAAGCGCT